AATAAAACTTAGCGGCGGAGTGGAATAACAATGAGGATGCGCCAGCAGCCATCAAACCTTTCAAACCTTCCACCAACTGCACTCGTCCCCGATGTAAGAAGATTTCCACATCGATTTCTTTCCCGCCGTGAGAAGAGCTCGTGTTCCAAAATACCCTCACCTTCTCCTTCCCCCATAAAATCTCACTCGAAATATTCCCCTTCGCGAAGTTTTAAATTTCGACAATGATCTTGAAAATCTTCGAATCCTACGAACTTTCCTAGGAAAAATAAAATTTGATCGACAAAATTATTTTTAAAAAAAAATCTAAGGTCGTTTTTGGATCCAAACATTTCAATGAATTTCACTTGTTCCTCTATTTTCTTATTTTTGAAGAAGCTGGAATTTAAACGTTTAAAGATTCTTGAGTCGGAGCCAAAATTAGAAGGCTTTTGAATTCTAGTTTAGAATATCTAGTATATCTGTTGTCTCCTGGTATTCCTGAGGTACTCTTGGGATTTCTTCAACTCGGGTTAGATTTCGAAGCAGTGGTTTGATATCACTAGGACGTTAGAGAAATTTCCTTGGGATCATAAATCGTTAAAACTTTGTTCAAGACTTACCACCTACTTTCCTGTATTCCATGGTTTGGAGTAAAAATTATAATGAGAATGTTTCGTATCGTGATGTTTGAGATACGTTTCATTTTGATAATTCACATGTTGGTTATATTTATGACACGTCGGATTGATCGAGTTGGAAGAACAATAATTCAGATTGACAGGGGCGCTAACTCAAACTGGCGGATTTATTTTTAAAACCGAACATTTGTCCCACGTCGACACCATTCTATAAGTCACAGAAGAGAGATATTGTAAAAATTTTTATGGATGGCAAGTATTTGTCTCGTTTTTCGAAAATAATTTTGATGGTTAAAAATATCGTACAATTGAAAATATCAAATTATTAAGGGATGAGTGAATGATTAATTGTTTGTTATCAATAATTTAAGTATTTATAGATTTCAATAATTCTAAGATGTACATATATAATTAAATTAGTGTTACAATTACTTGGCTTGAATATTCTGTTTAATAAATATTTGTTCACTTCTAGTTCAATTTAAAATGTTTTCTTTGGAAGATTAGTAATTTTGATTCGCATAACCACAATAATTATTAAATCAAGGAATATAACTTTCTCAATTGCCTGTCATCTCTCTTCAGTTACTGGTTAAATATTGAATTCAAAACACTCGAAACTATCCTATTTTCCTTCAAACACTTCACTATGGTTGTTTCTAATAAAAAAATAAAATAATAAAAATCTGTTATCTGCAATCAATACAGAAATTGTTATAACCCTTCATCATTCCGATTCAAACATCATAGAACATACCTATAACTCTCATTCACTCTCAATTCAATCTCAAATCTAATAATTCCACCTCATTACCCAATCTATCCGTATAAATTGAAAGAAACCCACTAAAATAAATCCACCCAATCATTAAAAAGTCTCATCGAATGAGCTGACCTCATTAAATAACGTCCAACCTAACCTAACCTCAAACGAGAGAACAAAAACTTCACACCTGGCGATCCCTATATCCCTCAATCATCTCGAAACACATTTCGAATTCTAGGTCCAAAATTCTCGAAATATCGCCAAAATTCCTTTATTTTTGTTCCTCTCTCTCTCTCCCTCTCTCTCTTTCTCGATCAGCTGTTTCGCGATTTCATCGACACAATGGCCACCGAAATGCTCGCTATGGCTCCTCAAACACTCGTAATTCTCTGGATCGATAAGCAAGGGAGAGAGAGAGAGAGAGAGAGATAGAGAGCTCGAGAACTGATGATTCGTCATAATTCCTAACGATCGATTTTCTCCGTTTACGGAGAATCGAACGCGCATTTAATCTTTCACAATGACGGTAACTGGTGGTACTCCAAAAGATGCGAGGGGAGGGGGGATCCTCTTTCTAACAATTTGGCGACGAGTCGCGGGGAGGAAGAGTCCTTTGACGGATTCATGGAAACGTGGCGTTTTCGGATCAGAATTATTCGTGATTTCTTCGTTCTCTTTCGTAGGTTGGTGAGAGTCCAAGTTTGGTTTTTGGTTTGAATGAACTCTGGATTCGATTCTGAGCGATGGTGGGTTTTGAGATTGGACGATTCGATCGGTGATATCTTCGTTGAAGATGAGCGAAGATTTTTTTTTTTTTTAATTTGTTAAAGTATTCTGCAGTCTGCAAATGGCTGTTGGATGAATCACTTCTCGAGTTTAAAATATTCATGCGATAGAGTTTTTTTTTTTTTTTTTTTTTATCTCTGTTGAAGTCATCCGTATGATGCAATATTGGATGTTATCGCAATGAGAAATACTAGAATCTAGTATGTTTCTGATATTTTCAACGTATAATGATTCGCAAAGTGATTCGAAGTTGTGATCAATTCCTCGATATTTTTCAAGTTTAAAGGTGTCATCCTCCTGTCACTTTCAATAAATCTAAAACTTATCATCGCTATCTTAAGATGAAAGTTGAATCTCTCTATTTTCCATTTTCCAAAAGTGTCAATCTCTTTTGCACGTTTTAAGTTTCTGGAAGCAATAAAGGAATAGGAAGCAATCTCTCGAGTACTTTCGAACTTCACACAAATTCGATCAAAACGAAATCCTCCCAAATTCAAATTCTTCTGTTCCTTCAAACTTCGTATCATCATCTCTTAGTACTCGCTTAAAACTCGCTTCTTTTGAAAACTGAGATCGAAAAATTCGAATTCACACGATTCGATGTTATCCAAATTGCTCTTCTTTTACAACTCGATTTCTCAGAAGTTAAATATTTTAAATATCATTATTACAATTTTTTTCGATTCAGAATCGATATGAATTTTTCTGGATTTTATTCTCCTCCAACTCCCTTTCACAGATTCCCTTTTCAGAAACCCAATATTCCTCTTTTCAATAGTTTCTACTTAGCCATTTGAATTTGGACTTTCGGTGAAACTGGTTCCCAAATCGATTGACTGGAAAATTCAAAGGATTCGACACACAATTGAATCCTCGATATATTACGCATTCAAGGAGGAACATCGATTGCACCGTTGGACTCGAGATACTCGAGAAATCTATGACGTTTGGACGTAAAAATAGGAAATTTTTAGATGAAAGTTTCAAAAGGCATGTGTTTCCTTTTCTTCGTAAAATAATATGGATGATCATCGAATGGCGGTGGTCATTCCTTTCCTATTATTGATCGCAAGAAACCATCTTTAATCCAAATATTCAAAATCTAGAAAAAGTTTTCAGATTCGTAATTTTCGTATTTTTCCATGTATCGAATAATATTTCGTTATTCTTTCATTTTATATTTTATTATTCTTCCATAAAAAAAAAATAAATAATAAATAATCTAAATATCGATCAATTTCAGAGATTGATAATTCTTATTTTTTCTTTTTATTCCTTTGGAGAAATTCAATATGGATAACTTCGAAGGTTCTCTCGATTTCATTTTTCATTCCGTTATTTTTCTTCAAATATTGAACTAACTCGAAGAATTTTTTTTTTTTTTTAGATAAACAATAATTCCCTCCTTCTGAACATTTAAATATCGATCTACTTCAAACATGTTTGCACACAATTTTTATTCCTTCCGAATGAAAAAAATTCAACAAATGTTTATCGATCTCAAAAGATTTTTAAATAACATTTATCGTTCGTGATGAAAACTTTAAAGATAACTTTTAATCAATATGGATGTGAATAGCTTCGTTTCCAATTCAAATTTTATATTTTTAAAGATACCAGTTTTTAAAGATGGAAGATGAATAAAGATGTAATTAAGGCTTGATTGTTAAATGAATTTCTTCATATAATTTCTTCCTCAGATGGAGGATACTTGATTATTGAAATTTTGAATAGCACGATCTTATTGTTTTATCAAGTTTCGGGTAATATAATATCGTATTTGGTAAGTTTGGAAAATTATCTTAAAGTGGTCGAACAAAATTTATCATCATTCCACTCGAGTACTCGCGGCTTGGCGCATTTGTCACTCTAAAAAAAATCCGCCTGCTTATCGTTGCCAAAATAACGAGCTCTTCGTGTTCCAAATATCAGAGTTCGATCCTTCATAACTTTAGCCAATTCCTACTTCATCGAAGTATTCGTAACCATAAATCAGATTTCAACTTTCTTAACATTGTTGGAATATATCGTGTGTTCGAAACGTAGAGAGGTTTGCTTCGGTGTTTTTTAATATTTAATATATTTTATTTATATTAATTTATAATATTTAAAATTATATTAATTATTATATTATTATTATATTATATATATAATAATATATATATTATATATTATTGTTATATTATATTAATTTTTAATATTTAAAATATTGTAACAAGTATCATAAAAATGATTGTGTTTCTTTTAAATGATTTTTAAAGATATATATCTTAAAACATTCCTGTCTTCCTCTTTTCGAATTTATCATTTTCTACTTCCTTCAACGTCCATTTTTATTTTGCATTCATCGTTTCCTACTTTTTGTTATATTTCGTACGTTTTCATTTTTCATTCTTACAATTTCCTACATCCACTTTCTTATTTCCTATTTTCCAATTTCAATATTTGTGTATTTCTTTGCTTCATATTTGTGTTTATCTTTCCTTTCCAATTTTTACCATTCCCTGTTCACCATAATTCTCATTATTCGTTTTCCACCTTGCACATTAAATATGCAAATTTCATTTTCTACGCAACAACCCTTCACCTTTCACCACCAACTTTCCCCGTACATTTTCAATCTCAGAGCCACCTGAATCGAGATCACATTTAATTTTGTTACCAAACCTGCCTCCATCCTCCAACACTCAAACACGGTAAAAAGTTGAAAAAGTTGAAGCACTTTCTCCAGTTAAAGTCGTCGAATCGAAAGATCCGTCACTTCCTCCACGAGCCGGTTCCCGGTTCAAAGGACTCTTCCTCCTTCGCTCGAGAGCACCAGATCTCACCTCGAGAACCTCTCCTAAATCCAGTTGGAGGCGCGTCGCAGGCGAGAAGAAGCGTAGGAACAGATCGAGGTATCTTGAGGCGGAGCAGGGGGCACGAAACGTCTCATTGCCGCGCGCGAGCGACGATCCACCGCGCGAGAAACGATCGAGGATCAGCCGCGCTGATCCGCTCGAGGTCGCGCGTGCTGTCGCACTGAGTGAGCGTCGTCAAGCTGCCCTCCTGCGAACCCAGACCACCGCCGCGAGCATGCTCCCTCTCTCTCTCTCTCTCTTTCTCTTCTGTTCGCGTTCCGCTCCACGCCGCGCCATGGTTCACGTTTCCTTCGATTCGAGACCAAATTTCGATCGTGATGGATACTGGATCAGATAAACGGACCTAATGGTGGAAATGGTATTTGGAAGAGGAAGATCGGTGGTCCGATTGATGAAACGTGACGTTTTTGGGTTTGACGAATGTCTTAGGTTAGGATCGATCCGAGGTTTTAGGTTAGGTTTATTATTGGACGAATTTCGAATTTCGAGCGCCTGTTGTATAGCAACCCGCCAAGTACGGATCGCTTCGAAATAATTATTGGTTTTTTATTTCAAAGGAAGATTAGTGGTCTGATTGGTGAAACGTGACGTTTTTGGGTTTGATGAATATCTTAGATTAGGATCGATCCGAGATCGATTTTAGGTTACGTTTATTGTTGGAATTTCGAATATTCGAGCGCCTGTTGTAGAGCAACCCATCAAGTACAAATCACTTCGAAATAATTATTGGTTTTTTATTCCAGAAAAAGATCGGTGGTCTGATTGGTGAAACGTGACGTTTTGGGTTAATTTTTAGGTTAGGTTTATTGTTGAGCAAATTTCAAATATTCGAACGTCTTATAAAACAACTTGTCAAATATAAATCGCTTTGAAATAATGGACTATTGGTTTTTTGTTCCAGAAGAAGTTTTCGATAGTTTGATTGGTGATGTTTTAGGTTAGGTTTATTATTGGACGAATTTCGAATTTCGAGCGCCTGTTGTAGAGCAATCTGCCAAGTACGGATCGCTCCGATATAATTATTGGTTTTTTATTCCAGAGAAAAGATCAGTGGTCTGATTGGTGAAACGTGACGTTTTTAGATTTGATGAATATCTTAGGTTAGGATCGATCCGAGATCGGTTTTAGGTTAGGTTATTGTTGGAATTTCGAATATTCGAGCGCTTGTTGTAGAGCAACCCATCAAGTACAAATCATTTCGAAATAATTATTGGTTTTTTATTCCAGAAAAAGATCGGTGGTCTGATTGGTGAAACGTGACGTTTTCAGTTAATTTTTAGGTTAGGTTTATTGTTGAGCGAATTTCAAATATTCGAACATCTTATAAAACAACTTGCCAAATATAAATCGCTTTGAAATAATGATTTTTTGTTCTAGAGGAAATTTTCGATAGTTTGATCGGTGATGTTTTAAATTAGGTTTATTGTTGGATGAATTTCGAATACTTAAACGTCTTATAAAGTAACTTGCCAAATATAAATCGCTTTGAAATAATGGACTATTGGTTTTTTGTTCCAAAGGAAGATCGATAGTTTGATTGATGATGTTTCAAATTAGGTTTATTCTTGGATGAATTTCGAACATTCGATGATTCGAATTTGAGCGCCTATTGTAGAGCAACCTGCCAAGTACGGATCGCTTTGAAATAATGGGCTATTGGTTTTTTATTTCAAAAGAAGATCAATAATCTGATTGAACGTCTGATGAAACGTTTTTGGGTTTGATGAATATTTTAGATTAGGATCGATCCGAGATCGGTTTTAGGTTAGGTTTATTATTGGACGAATTTCGAATTTCGAGCGCCTGTTGTATAGCAACCCGCCAAGTACGGATCGGTTCGAAATAATGGGCTATTGGTTTTTTATTTCAAAAGAAGATCAATAATCTGATTGAACGTCTGATGAAACGTTTTTGGGTTTGATGAATATTTTAGGTTAGGATCGATCCGAGATCGGTTTTAGGTTAGGTTTATTATTGGATGAATTTCGAGCGCCTGTTGTATAGCAATCCGCCAAGTACGGATCGCTTCGAAATAATGGGCTATTGGTTTTTTGTTCCAGAGGAAGATGGATGGTTTGATTGGTGAAACGTGATGTTTTCGGTTAGGTTTTAGGTTTGTTGTTGGGCGAATTTCGAATACTCGAGCGCCTGTTGTAGAGCAACCCGCCATGTACGGATCGCTTCGAAATAATGGGCTATTGGTTTTTTGTTCCATTTTCAAAGAATATCGATACGTTATGCGTGGAGATATAAGAGGATATATATATATATAATAACGTTGCCCGTAAATGGACAATGTTTGCAATGTTTTTCACGAGGAGAATTTAATAAACCGGAAAAGCGTATAATGCGGGGTGATCCGCTTGCTACAGGAAAATACGGCTTGAGATAATCCGTAATCTAAAATCATCTAACGAAAAATGCTCCATTCCTTGTCACTCACATTCCTCTTGTTATTAAATTTTAATTCCGATATTACGCCACCTCTTCCAGAAATTAAGATATTCCATTCCCCTGATCCTTGATAACCGTGGCAAACTGTGGCACTCGAAAACCCATCGAGCCACTTAATTTCGAGTGGAAACGACGAGATTCAGAGAACAGAGATATAATCGCTTGCCTCTCATGGATCGGATATGCTCGAGTTAATTTTATGGCGCCCTGGGAGAAGATTTTATCGTTGATCGTGGTTGAAACGTTGCTCGGTCAGTTTGTTTGCTACCTCTGGGTCGTTTTGGATCGAGTATGAATGGTTCCCAGAGTTTCTGTGTTAACGTTACAAATTGCTATCTCACTTTCTTTCTTATTCCTTTTCTATTTGATTCTTGAGCCAAGTTTCATATCGACAATTGTGAATTTCGCTTCGATCCGACTGTCTGTCACCGTTGCTGTCGTCGAAGAGAAATTTAATGACTCTAAACTATATACCTTGTGTCCGATCGTTCCTCATTACTCGATACACCCGATCGATTGGCCGAACTCGAGTAACGCTCTCAGTGATATTATTGACGATACAAATGGGAGTTTAATGCAGGGTATAAATTTTCTGAAGCTATCGGTTTCGTTACGTTCTATTATTGTGTAACGTAACACTTCCATTCATTAAATTGTAGCTCGTGTCCCAGCAGGATTTGATAACATTGTCAGAAATGAGAAACGAGGACGCAACGGCCTGTGAATCTTTTCACTGTGAAATTGTCCCATTGCCTGCAGTTAACCCATTACCAAATACAATTCAACCATTCCACTATTCATTATCCTTCAATTATGAGATCCATTTACGAAATGCATCATTCGAAATCTAATTGATAATTGTATCTCTGAAATCTAATTTTAATCCCTGACGATAATTTAATTCCAATTTTTTTCTCGATTTCTATTCGAAAATGACAATCGTTAAAATGGAGAGAGAGAGAGAGAGAGAGAGAGAGAGAAAAAATATATAATAATTATTTTCGCAAACAATTTTTTTTTTTCTACGAACGAACGAATATATAATTTCTAATTTACTCATTTTGTTCACTTTCTAATTTAATTTCACACCTCTTAATCCACATTTTTTTTCAATTTTACCAACAAATTTTCACCGCGTATTATTCCCCACGACTTTCTCGGACCGAATTCTAACTTTTTGCAAGTGAGATGAAGATTAATTTTAATTCTGAACTTTAATATTTACTTTAGCAGTGTCTATTTATTCATCACAGAGATTAAATGGGAAAAGCAAAACGAATTGTATCTCGTTCGTAGAAGCAAAGTTAATTTTTATTCGCGTTCCTTTCTCTTTGTTGATCTTTCACGATCAAGAGAAACATCTCATTTTCTCTTTCTCTTTTTTTTTTAAAGATCGATTCCACGTTCAATCCTTTCCAAACGTATCGTAAAGTTTTCTCTCTTTCCTTTTTTTCGAATCCCATTCCAAGAGACATTTAAATCCCGCGATAACGATAATATAATTTCAATTGTCGATATCACTCTTGTTGCACGGATTGAAGGAAGGCGATAATTTAACGAGATAAATTTCTTTCGATATTTTACAAATACGCAATCTATTTCTCCTTTTTTTTTTTTTTTTTATTTTTTCCTTTCGTTCCCTGATAGAGGAAAATTTACCTTCTCCACATTATATCCATTCTCATTTTTCGAAGAAGAATTGTTCTTCTCGAGGAATGAAATCAAGAATTTCATATCAAGAAATATCTTCTTTCCGTTTTATTTCATTTTATTTTAAATTTTGAAATTTTGAAATTTCCTTTCAAAGGATGTTTCTATCTTTCTATCTAGAAAGAGAGTTTCAATGTTTCTATCTTTCTATCTAGAAAGAGAGGGAACGGAGAACAAGAAAATTTGTTTGATTCTTGATCCAAGAATGAACGAGATTGGATCAAGTTTTCTCCTTTTTTTTTTTTTTTTTTTTTTTTTTTTTCCCATCGAGATCCGCCCTTCGAGGATCACAAGGAGCTAATAGATGGTGAAGTGGTATAGAAGATGTTATCGGTTGCGTGTCAGCAGTTTCAAAAGGAAGCTGAACTCCTCGGGTAGGGAATGTCTCTTAAGGCCATTGGTTTCAAGAGAACGGAATACAATACAGGAAACGAGTTGGATCTCGAAGGTTAAGAAAATTGTGTTTTCAGACTTCTTCTTCTTCCGGAATATATCTCTTCCGGAACGGAGATCAAGAGAAGTCGAATCACTTCTCTGGTTCTGGAAGTTCTCTGGTCAATAATCATTTCGATTGTTTCGTGAACAATTCTTTGGTCACGTGGACGTAGAGATTACGTCGTGGATGACGTAAACTTCGTCGAAATTGGAATGGTTTGAGAAAAAATTATTCCAACAGAGGGAAAAAGTTTGGAAAATTATCGTTGATCGAATTTTACGAGGGATGAAATTCTATCAAGGGATAATTTCATCCCCGTTTTACGAAGTGTATTTTTTTAAACGTCAATGAATTTTTTTTTTTTTTTTTTTTTTTTTAGAAATTTTGAAATCGTTACGTGTTTATTTCACGGGAAAAAACCGATAGAACGTAGATTTTTTTTTTTTTTGGAAAAATGAATTTCGTAAAATTTATCTTTTATCAAAAAGCGTTTCACTCATTTTCGTGCGTCGAATAAATTTAACATATTTAATCATGTCGTTTTATTCGAA